CAGCTCTGAGCTGTAGACTTAGGGGTTTTCATGTTTCAGGAACCCCACGCTATGTGTACCCTTGAACACAAAGCCCTCAGTTACTTCCCTGGGAATAGTGCAAAGCGACAGCACTCTGCTCAGGACACAGGCGTGCCACGACAATGGTGAAAGGAAGCAAAGCAGAGGTGGCCACGGAATGGCTCCCGGGGGCCGGGCTCTTTTGCGCCCTGCCTGCTCACACCTCCCTGTTCTCTGTACTTGTGGTAAGCTCGAATCCTTCCTCAAAGGCCGTTTATGAAGGCAGGGTGAGCCAGGGTCCCCTGCTGCCCTACATCATGTATTGACAGAGGATGCTGGCTCAGGCCCTGGGGTCCGGCTCTGGTCCTGCTTGGACCGTGTCTCGGGCGTGGCCCCAGCCAGGCTCCCCCCGCCCCCACACCGGCTGCCCTGCCCACTTTCTGCATGAACCAGCCTGTCTTTCAAGCCCAGGGCTTCAGGCCATGAAGGTGCCACCAAGGAGCATCTGTGGGGCCAGGACGTGGGGCCAGGGCCACGGCCTCGAGGGAGCGCCCTGGGGGCTGGGTCACGCACCGTTCCGCCAGGACACCGTGTGGATGCGGGGTCAGGCCCGCCCTCCCTTACTCACTTGGCGTAAGATGAGTCCCCGAGACCCAGGACAGCAAAGTCCATCTGGCAGAGGGCAGTGGATGGCAGGCTCCTCCGGAAGATGAACCTCCAGAAACTCTGCAGCGGGAGAGGGAGCTCAAGGCCTCTCCTGGCCATCAGGGCCCAGGCCTCCCCAGGGCTCTGCTCTCCTACCTAACGCTTTTGTTATTACAACAAGACTGCTTCTTCTTCTTCTACTGTAGTAGTGAAAAAGTTGGGGAAAGGCAGAAAATGGTAAAGCAGAAGAATGCTACCCTGGCACCAGTGCCAGAGCTGGGCTCCAGTGCTGCCCGCAGAGGGCTGGGGGAGCCTGGCAGGGCTGTCACCAGCGGGGCAGCTGCTGGCCTGCCCCCCACTGCCCAGCGTGCGGGCAGCACGGCCCGGCAGCTCTCAGCCCCGCCTCGGGCCTCACAGCAGACCCCCAGGCCCCTCTTGGGTCTGGCTCTCCCCCTCAGGGGAATCTTCCCTTCTGGGCCTGGAGCTGCCGGCCACCAGGCTGCTCTGTGCCCAAGCCCTGCCCTCGCAGGGCCAGCCTAGGTCCCACACTGCCCCCTCCCCCAGGGCACCCTCACCTCCATGCAGCCACTTATCCCAGGTTGGCCCCCAGGTCGGCGCCCGAGTCCCTCTCCTTCCCTGACCATAGGGTCACCACTGGGCAGCCTGTGCGGGAGCACCGCCCATTCCACGCCTTGGCCTGGTCTTCCTGCAGGCCCAGAGGTGTTTCTGAGATCTCCTGCTTAGACCTTATCTCCTGAAGGCTGTGGAAAGCCTCAAGGTACTTCCTGAGAAAGGGTCCAGGGACGATGAGCTTCTCATGGCTTAGGTGTGAAAATGTTGGGCTTCCCCTTGCACCGCTGGCAGACAGTGGGGCACACTTCAGGCTGACACTGTCCTCTTCAGGCCCCTGAAAGTTTGCTCTGAGCTGGTCCAGCTGGGTGGGCGCTGCTGGGAAGCCAGTGTCCCTCGGTGCCCTGCCTTGTCCCCAGACACCTGGGCACTCTGCACTTCCAACAGCTGAAACCCACACGAGTCGGCTGTCGGCGGGAGCCCGGTTCCCACCCTGCCAGCCCTTCCTGGGCACATGGCGGGTGTGTGGACTGGAGACCCAGCCTTCAGTCCTGTTGACACTTTCCGTGTTGATTTCCTCACCGCTCTCATTCCTGTCGCAGGGCTGCTGGGAAAATCTTGGGCTCCTGATGTCATCTTTCTTGTTCCCTAACTTTGTTATGTTTCCTGGGAGATTTTCTCAACATTATCTTCTAACCTGGTATCATTTTAAGGTGGTCTCCTCAGCTCCTGCCCTGCCCAGGCTTTGCGTTTCTGGCACCAGGGCACCAGGCTAGCCCACCCCTCGCAGATGGAGCTCTGCTCTGCCTGTTCCTCTGGTTCTGCATGTGCTTCTCTTGGTCCCCGTCCTTCACAGCGGTCTTTCCTCGAGCACGTGGTCATTCTTCATGGTCTATCTGTGCTTCAGAAGATGACAGAAAACCCCAAGTTCGGGCCTGTCACCAGTGGGTTTCTTGGCCAAGAGAGGGGCGAGGCTCGGCTACCTGGAGGGGCTTGCCCAGCCAGTGTCCTCCAGGATGGTGACAAGGAGGCTGGGGTCTCCTAGTCCTGTTCTGTGATGGGTTGGGAGGGCCCCATCCTGACTCCCTCAATGGTATTCATCCTGGCATCCGGCCCTCCTGTAACGACCCTCGTTCCAGTGTGACTATCACCACGTTGATGCTGTTAGCTTTCACTGTAAAGTCAGGACCTCTGCCAGCTGACCTGATAGAGGTCTTTATCTCTCGCCCCTTCCACACCCTGGTCTGGCACCCACCACGTGCCTCCTGCCTTGATCTCCCCAGAGCTGCCTCTTCTCCTGCACCTCCTCCTGTGCTGGCGTGCCCACTCCAAGCCTATTCTTCAATCTTCTGCCTTTTGCACCTACCAGCATTTAAACATGCCTGGGTTTCTCCATCTCACAACTATTCTTTTTAACCCCTTAACCCCACTCACAGCGTAAGCGTTTTTGAATTGTTTCATGTGCAGACGTCCTTAAACGCTCCCCTGCTCGAGGTTGCCAGCCGTCCCTTTGCTGACCTTACTTCATTTCCTCGCAGCTTGAGCGCCAGAGACCATCCTCTGGAGACAGTCACCCCTCTGCCCTCGACCTTGGAGATGGTCCACTCCCTCTTCTCGCTGCTGGGGCCACTTTCCTGCCCCTCACCAGCTTTTCTCCACCTTCCACGCCTTTGTGTTTAAGGGAAGCCCGTCCTGGGGGAGGGAGGCACTTCCTTCCTCTCGCCTCCATATTTTGGCCACTGCGACATGTGTGTCCACTAAGGATCCTCACTGGAGCTCCAGGCCGACTGCGTCTCCACCTGGACAACGTCTGGGCACCTTACCCTCCTGATTCTCTTACTTCTGTGTGTGGAAGCACCATCCATCCTAGTACCTAGGCCTAAATCCTTGTCTTAATTCTACCTTCTTTCTCATCTTTGAGATTCGATCCCACGATTCCATGTTCAATCAACTCTACCTTCTTAACATCTCTGGAGGGCGTCTGCTCCACTCTGCTCTGCCACCATCCTGCCTCAAGCTCTTGGCTGCGTTGTGCCCACCTCCCACCACCACCACCCTGGTGCCTGCTCTCCTGCAGCCTGCTCCCCCGGCAGACAAGGGCTGGTTTTGCTAGAATACACATGTGACTGCATCACCCCATGGGTTCCATGGCCCTTCATTTCAAATCCTTCTGCCTCCCTGTGGCTGCTGACCTCTTTGGGATCCAACCTGGCTGCCTGCTCCTCTTCTTCCCTCCAAGCCTGACTCATTCCTTGGCTCGACCATCCTGAACCGCTTTCCACTCTTCCACGGCTGGGCTCTTCTCCTCTGCAGAGGTTGCTCCCTCTTGCCTGGTGCCTGGCTGGCCCCGATTATCTTTCAAGACTTAGCCTAGCCTCTTTTCTTCCAGAAAGCTCTCTCTGAACCTCCAGATTGAGGGAGGCAGCCCTAACTAATGGTCCCATTAACATCAAGCACTTTCTCTTGCAGCATGCATTTTTCTGGCATTGTAGCTGCCCATTAAACGCTTGCTTTTGCTATGTTTTGAGTTTCACGAGGGTAGAAATGTGACTACTGGGTTCATAGCTGGATTCCCAGCACTAGATTATGCTTGAAATACAATATGTGCTCAAAAGATGGTCAAAGAATGGCAGAATGTTCCCTGAAGTGAGCTTTGAAATACACACAAGACCCATACCAGATTTATATACAGCCCTGGAAAAAACATGAAAAGGTAAAGTGGTGCAGAGTTTATTAGGAAGGATACCCAGAACCCCCTGCTCCACCCAAAGATCTCCTCCAAAATCCAGAGGAGAACAATTATTCACTGTGCTTCTCAAGTCTTTCCAGGCAATGAAAGGATCTGAGCCCCTGAGCACACTTCAGGTCAGCCTTACCTTCATGTTGTCCGGGGGGTCTCCTTGGCCTGTAGTTGCACAAACAAATATCACCAGGGGCTCATTAATCAGATTCACCTCAACAAAAAGACACACATGTAAGGCCTCGGGCTGTAATGGCCAGGCATCCTCCCAGCAGCCTGGCTCCCCTCCTTCTCTCAGAGGAATGGGGCAAAGGGACTCAGCGCTCGCGAGCGGCCGGCCTGCCTTCTCTTTCAGGCTCCCCTCCTACCGCTCCCCTGTCTCCATGCGTTAAACTGGCCGCTGCTCCCAAGCGTTCCCGGCCCCTAAATCTGCTGTAACGGAAGTGCCCGCTCTCAGACGAAACGTAGCCCCCTGGGGTCGAGCGCTTTGGGTGTCGGCGCCCCAAGCCCGCCGGGTGTCCCCGCCGAGGTCCGAGGAGCCCTCACCACCGGGTAGGAGTCCAGGGCTTGCACCCGGCAGCTGAGCTGCCGGCGCCGGGCCTCGCGGCCCAGCCTCTCCGACACATCCTGGGCTGTGCCCGTCTGGCTGCCGAAGAGCACCAGGAGCCGTGCGCTCGGCATGGGCTGATCCCGGGGAACCTCAAACTCCTGACGTAACCCGCAGCACTCGCCGCCAGCCCGTGGCCGCTACGACCGGCTCCGACTTCCGACTTCCTGCGTTAGCCGGAAGTGACGCCCTAGGGCCGCGCCCGGCGGGGCATGGCGTCCGAGCGCGGCGGGCGTCGGCGGGTGGTCTGTGAGGGGTCCCAGGTCGGGGCCGGGGGATCGGCCGAGCGACGGGGCCGAGGGCCGGGGCAGGTGGGGCCGCTTGCTGCCTCTCGTTGGCCGCGGCGGCGGCGGGCGCCAGCGAGGCTAGGAGGGCGCGGCCGCGTAGCCCGGCAGCTGGGACGCTCGGCCGGGCCCCGGCCCGCGCCCAACCGGCGCGATGCTCTTCTCGCTCCGGGAGCTGGTGCAGTGGCTGGGCTTCGCCACCTTCGAGATCTTCGTGCACCTGCTGGCCCTGTTGGTGTTCTCCGTGCTGTTGGCCCTGCGTGTGGACGGCCTGGCTCCTGGCCTCTCCTGGTGGAACGTCTTCGTGCCCTTCTTTGCTGCTGACGGGCTCAGCACCTACTTCACCACCATCGTCTCCGTGCGACTCTTCCAGGATGGAGAGAAGCGGCTGGCCGTGCTCCGCCTTTTCTGGGTCCTCACAGTTCTCAGCCTCAAGTTCGTCTTCGAGATGTTGTTGTGCCAGAAGCTGGTGGAGCAAACGCGAGAGCTCTGGTTCGGCTTGATCACGTCTCCGGTCTTCATTCTCCTGCAGCTGCTCATGATCCGTGCCTGCCGGGTCAACTAGCCTCGCAGAAGATAGGCTGGAATGCTGGGACCCACGCCGAGTCCCCATGTCTACCGCACCAGAGGAGAAATCTGAGTCTGAGAGCCTGCTTGTGCCCTGCTGCGTGCCTGGTTTTCGATCAGTCATGTCTGAAGTTGTTCCCTCAGCTGGGCTAAAAAGAGCAGCCTTGATTCTTAAAGCGTATTCTCTTATTTCATGCTTTGAATAGCTAATCTTGAACTGAGATCCCTAGAAGGATCCTGAGAAGGCCAGACAATCCTGAACTCCTGACAGAAACTGCATATAAGTAAAATATCCTGATGGGCTCTTGAGAATTTTCATGGATCCTGGCAAAGTACCCCGCGTGCAAAGGCTGCAAAGCCGGCCTTGGGGTTTGCCCTGGCCAGCAGTGCTGACCTGCGTGCTTGCTGTCCCTGTCTCCCCAGACAAGACTTTCTTAGATGCTTGAGCTCTAAAAAGTGTAAACCAGCTTGTGTTTTCTCCCCAGTGGCACTGGGGAGGATGGCTTTTTCTTCATTCCAGTCCAGGCAGACAGGAGGATGTTGAATAAGTGTGACGGGACCCTATCCAGAGATCTGTCGCCTGAGAAAAGAACTTGCTTTCAAGGCACTGCTTGGGTTCCTGTCCCCAGCTTTTCCACCACCTTGTGGCCGGCAGTGTTAGTACACCTGAGACATTTAGGCCACTAAGGGACCAGAGAGAGGAACAGGTGTTCTGATGTGAATAGGCATTGAGACCTACACGTGGGAAGTTTGCAGTTGGTCTCAGCCCACGCTTGTCACTCTGAGGGCTTTGGTTTGATGCCAGTTAGGTGCCAAATGAGAACATTTTGCTGAGATGAAAATAAAATAAGATAATGTTTTGCTGAAACACACAGTGGTTGCCTGACCTTTTCAGGGTTAATGCTGAGATGCTTCCTGCTGTGTGGTGTATATGGTTACAGAGCTGAGGTTGTAAGAGAGGGCTGGAAGTTGGCTCGAGCCTTCTGGGTGAATGGGAGGGTAGTTCCCTTGGAGAATCCCTGCTTCCTCCCTGAGGAGCCAGAGTGAAGACAACCCCCCGGGGGTGGGCCCATGTTGAGGATTTAACAGGCAGCTTGTGTGACATCAGAGTCTCTGTAGGCCTTGCTGATCTGCAGAGCAGGAGTCAGCAGACTGTGACCCGGGGCCTGTTTTTATACTGCCCTTAAGCTAAAAATAACATATTTTCAAAGGGTTGTAAAAGCAATGTGACAGAAATGAATGTGGCCTGCAGCGTACAGGGCCTTTCAATCTTGGCACGGTTGGCCTTTGGGTCAGATCACTCTTGGTTGTGTGTGTGTGCAGGGACAGGCTGTCCTGGGCATCATAGAGTGTTCAATGGCACCCCTGATCCCCACTTAACCAGATGCCAGGAGCGCCCCTCACACGTGACAGCCCAGTGTTTCCAGACATTCCCAAATCTCCTGGAGGACAAAGCTGTTCCTAGTAAGAACCACTGGACTAAATTACCCCCTGTCTTGCCCATGTTTTCTGAACTCTTGTTCTAGGACGGATGCTGCATGGCCTGAACCACTGAGATGCTTGAGCTGGAGGCTGGTCTAGTTTGTGCCACAGCTGCAGAAATGTCTCCTACCCAGCATCGGCATAACCTGTGTCAAAACCAGATACAAACTGACCCTTGGGGTTGGGTTTCCTTTTAATGTTATTTTTAGTTTATGTATTTTATCACTGCCCTGTTGAATTCTGGTAATTTAGGTAATCCTGTCAGCATACAAGGGATGAGCGCAAGAATGTTCAGCTTCCTTCTGGGAAGGTGATTTGAGGAGAGTCCTGACAGAACACTTGAGCCCTGGAAGGCTGAAATCCAGTTTCTTTTCTCCAGCTGGATAGACTGGGCTGTTACAAGTACTGTTATTGCAGTGATAGCTGCAGACTGCCACGGGGCACAGAAGTGGAGAAGGGCCTCAGAGTTGAAACCTGCCCTGGGTCTTTGCAGAGGCCCAGGTGCTCTTGGAGCCTGGTCTCTGAAAAGTGAGTGTAGCGGGAGGCAGTGGTGTCATTTGTGAACATCTGTTGATGTAGGCAGGTGATGGAAAGGCAGGGGACAGTTGTCCTTGCCCATGCCCCCAATTTGTCCTCCTCTCCTTGGCTCCAGCAGGCCTGAAAGAACTCTGTGCAGCTCTCCTGGGGCAGTGAACTTCCTCATGGCAAGTACACAGAGAAGGTGTGCCCTCAAGGGCAGCGTTGGGATGGGGGTGGTTCATCAGGTGAATGGAATGTGTCCCGGCTATTATTGCCCTGTCTGCCTTGGAGCGCTGTGGGCCTGCTCATGTGCCTTACGGGCTTCCACACTCCCATTCGTGTTTGGTGGGCCCTGGATGACCAAGGGTGAATAGTTTCCACTACTTGTCTGGGCAACAAGAGTGGATTCTAGGGGACAGCAAAAACCAGAGATTCCTGAGAAACCGATTACTCCGCACTGGGTGGGGCTTCAGCCGTTGGTATCTCCGCTAAGTACCGCGGGAGACCCAGGACCGCAGGTGGGCAGTCCTTAGACCCATAGGCACCTGGGCCAGGAAGAGGGAGGCTGGCGTACAACCGGCGTACCGCTCACGGGAGCGGGACAGCCTTCCAGTCTTGGGTTGGCGCTTCTTCCACTGCGCTTTCCCTGGGATAATAGGAGGACAGACCAAGAGCAGCCAAGGTCAACCGCGACGCGGGGCCAAGGGGTCCGGCCGGCCTGCCAGCCTGCGGGGCAGAACCCGCCCCCTCGTGGCTCCGCCTTCCGGGCGCGGCGAGCCCAGGGAGCAGAGGCGGAAGTGTGGGCCTCCCTGGAGGGGCGTGAGGCGTCACGGGCGTGTCCAAAGGACTCCCCAATAGGGACCCACTCCGGGGCTGGGCCCTGTCCACTGAGGTCAGCGGGAGGGCGGGGTCGAGGAGAACGCTCTCCAATCAGCGTGGGCGGCTATCCTCCCTGCCATAGGTGGGGCCGCGGGGCTGGGGCGGGCCTGAACGGGCCTCTCCCCCAATGGGCGGTGGCCCGGGGGTGTGGCAGCTGCGCGAAGGCCGGCGGCGGGCGGTGGCCGCAGTTCCCGGCGCGCGTTGGGTCCGGCGGCCACTCCGCAGCATGGCCGGCTTGGGACGGCCGGGCCCAGCGCCCCGCGCCGCGATGCCTGCCTGGAAGCGAGAGATCCTCGAGCGAAAGCGGGCTAAGCTGGCGGCCTTGGGCGGGGGCGCGGCGCCGGTCGCTGGGGCGGGCGCGACGGAGACCGCTGGGCCGGTGACCGAGCCGCTGGTGCTGGCCGAGAGCCTGGGCCCGCTGCGCGAAAATCCATTCATGCGGCTTGAATCGGAGCGGCGGCACGGGGCGCGGCGCGCCGGGGGCGCGGGCGCGGCGGGGCCCGGAGCGCGGCCCGCGGAGCAGCTGCTGGAGCTGTACTGCCGCGTGCCCGGCGTGCGCACCATCCGCGCCGACAACATCCTCATCATCGAGTCAGAGCCCGGCTTTCCGCCCGCGCCCGCGCCCAGCCCGGGCCTCGGTCCCGGAGGGACCGCCCGTATCCGCGCCGCGGAGGTGCTTGTGTACGAGGCACCGCCGACGCCCGGCCGCGTCAGCCGCCTGCTCCAGAAGTTCGACCCGCCGGCCGCGCCGCACCGCCGCGGGAGCCCGGAGCGCGTCCGCCCCGCGCCGCCACCCTCTCCGGGCCCGGCCTTTCCGCGCGTGGGCGAGCGCGCCGCCTGCTTCCAGTGCGATCCGGAGGGCTGCGGCTCAGGCCTTGGCCCCGGGCCCCGGCGCAGCGGCTTCTTGCACAAGACCGGCAGCAACTCCTTCACTGTCCACCCGCGGCGCCTGCGCCCTAGTGCGGGCGCTCGCCCACTCCCCAGCGGGCCCCTGGCCCCGGAGCCCCGGGCCGGCGCCGCCAGCGGCTTTGAGGGCTCCGCGCCTGAGCCAGGCGAGTGGAAGCCAAAGGTGGAGTCGGGGGAGGCCCCTGCCCACCAGTCCCTCAGCCCGGGGACCCCCAGTGCCACTCCAGCCGCGGCTCCGGCCTTGCCCACGCTCAGCTCTTCCAGTGCCACTCCCAGCCAGCGCCAGTGGGTCTCCGCGGCCACCAGCGCCAATGACTCCTTCGAGATACGGCCGGCCTCAAAGCCAGACATGGGCAGGATCCCTGCCGAGGACCTCCAGGCCCGGGCTCTGGCTAGCCTTCGAGTGAACTCTCGAAACTCCTTCGTAGTCATCCCCAAGCGCAAGATATTTGGGGCTCCTCCTGGGGAAGGGAGGCAGTCCGTGGTGCCTCCAGAGGATGAAGTTGGCTGGGCCTCCCAGCACCCAGAGCATGAAGCCCAGCAGGTACCTGGAGTGGATGGTGTGTTTGCAGGTGGGAGGAGCCCCCCCAGAATCGTAGAGGGGGGCATCCCTGCTCCAGCCGCTGCCCTTGTGGACCCTGCTGTCAGGTGGCAGGGGCCGCCCTCACCACCCCCGTCTCCACGGGCCGCCACTGAAGCTGAGCCCACCCAGGGCTTCCAGACTCCTGGCTTGGCCAAGAGCGGCAGGGAGCCTAGGCGGCCAGGGCTGCCCGTCACTTTCATTGATGAGGTGGACTCGGAGGACGAGGTCCCCCAAGAAGCCAAACTCCCCTGCTCCGGGGCTGGTGCGCCTCCCCAGCACCACCCGCATCCAGCCAGGCCTGGGTACTTGTCAGAGCTCCAGCATCGGGGTGGTAACACCTTCACAGTGGTGCCTAAGAGGAAGCCAGGGGCCGTGCAGGCCAACGGCGAGGCCAGGCCAAGGGAGGCTGAGGAAGACGAGCCAGGCACAGTTTCGGAGCCCCCTGCTACTGCAGGGACCTCACTGAAGAAGCGCTACCCCACTGTGCATGAGATCGAGGTGATCGGTGGCTACCTGGCCCTGCAAAAGTCTTGTCTCACCAAGGCCGGCTCCTCAAGAAAGAAGGTGAGTGGTGGGGGGCAGAGTCCACAGAGGGAGGGGGAGAGGTGGCAGGTCACAGATCTGTGGGT